GGTTGATGTCTTTTGCGACTCACTACGTGCGTTTAAACGTTTGATAATTGCGGCGTGTAAAGCTAATCATAATAATTAGTTTATGTAAGTAAATTCTATATATTTTGATCGATATATGTATTTTATTCCGTTGTTATCTTTGAGGCACGGTGCCTTGGGTTCGTCCCGATTCCGTGCTCAACTGTATACATTAAATAAATAAATCAGTAGAATTAATTGTAACTCTAGATTTCAATCCATAATAAAATTGAGGAGATGGATAACAACAGCGGTCTTTTGCGACAATAACAAACTTTTTAGTCTCGAATCGTCACAAAAATGTGTCAAATTAAGAAGAAAACTACATTCCAATCATTCCGCAATATCTGGTTCTAAACAATCGCATGATTCATCATACTACTCAATCACTTTGTCAGTATTGTCATCCTACTAAATACTACACATAATATTTTGGTGCACTTGAACTGTGTTTACATCATCTTCTTTTTCGGGTTTAAGACGTTAACTGTCGGAAATCTAATAGATTATGATGGATGTAACATTTTATTTTCGAGCAACGACTTGCTATTTATTTATTTAGCGTATGGCATTTACTGGGTGTTTAAAAATTGTGTTCGGATATTTTGCCAATTATAGATCTCACCAAGATAAACAAAAAAATCTTAGTAAACGTAGGTCCTAAAAGCAGTGGTTTCGAAACTATAAACAATTCCAGTGTTATTAGTGAATGAAGCGTCTTGGTCTTCAAATGTTTATTTAATTGGGGAAAATATAAACAGAACATAAAAACTGAACACAAAATGCTTAAAGTAAATATCTACATGACCTCCCTCCATTTGAAGACATATTTGACATCTTCATTCAAAAGAATAACGTACTCTTTCGAAAACTCGTGGAGATTGGCGAATAGTCTCACATGTGTTTTGTATTCTTTGCTGGAGATCCTCCAACCTCCAAGCTATTAATAGGTGCTGAATACTAATGATTTTAAGTAACCCCATGCCAAAAAATCTAGAGGATTTCAATCAGGTGATCTAGGTGGCCAAACTAGTGAACCTCCTCTTCCTATCCATCTACCATAAAATTCAGTATTAAGCGTGCAGGCGCGCCATCTTGCATGAATCATATTTGTAACCTATTCTGGAGAGGTACATCTTCAAATAATATCGGCAAACTGTTTCGCAGAAAGTCCAAATAAATTTCACCAGTTAAGCGATTAGGAAGAATTATTCGGTCACCAAGTATCCCAAGCCAAACATTGACAGAAAACTTATACTGTCTTCTTGTTTGCATAACAGCGTGAGGATTTTCATCCGCCGAAAATTCAAAAATTCCGTCTTTTATAAAAGCAGCTTCGTCAGTGAATAAAACACTAGCATGAAATATCGGATTTTGTGCAAATTTCTGCAACATCACTTCACAAAATGCTTTTCTCCAAACGTAGTCAGGAGCGACAAGTTCTTGTACTTGTTGAACTTGGTGAGGATACAATTGTTGCTGACGTAAAATTCCCCAAACTAGAGAGGCATTACTGCAGCAGAGATCCTTCTTACACTCGTATCTGGATTTTCTTCAACCCTTCTCAAAACATCCTCTTCTACTGTAAGAGTACTCACAGATCGAGGTCGATCAGCGTCGTGGTGAGTTGTTTTAAAAGAACCCACTTCTGACAAACGTTGCAATTTTGTGAAAAATTTATCACTAGGTAAGTTACGGTTTGGGTAAGTTTCTGAGTAACGGCGACGTGCCTCATAAGCGTTACCATTAGCAGCACCGTACATAAAGTGCATGTCTGCGATTTATGCATTCATTCATGCTTACATAAAATGAAAGCACCCAACTACACCAGCGAAAGTGCCGTGAGATTGACAATAAAGCAACGTAAAATCAACTATATCTCTGAAACAATTGATTTTAGGACCTAAGTTTACCGAGACTTTTTTGTTTATCTTGATGAGAACTATAAGTGGGTGAAATATCAGAACACAATTTTTAAACACCTGGTATAAGACGGACAAACTATAGTAGGTAAAAGTTACGAACAACGAATAAAATATACAAAACAAACGGTCAATAGAAAGTACAACCAAAATTTAAAATTTTATATCCAATTCGGCTAGCAATTTACGAGCTATGGATTTAGCATCAAAAAAGTTGCACAATGTGCTGAATAGATTATTTTGTAGCTCCGCAGACACTGAGACGATGACAGCATTTGTGGAGACTGTTACCACAGACGGGGAAGTCCAAATCCTTTTGGTTCTTGATTGGGGAGAATCTGTTAGTTTATTCCTGATTCCAGTTCTTTTCCTTCTCAAAGTTGACGTTGTAGTTGTTTCTAGCCAGTTCCTCAGCAAGATTATTTAATTAAGATAAGGTAAGTTCTTATGAATCGGCAGCATTAGGTTGTCAGTTATTTGAACTTTTTTAGAAGAACATTCTTCCTTCGCAGGTTTGGCGGGCGATATTCCTTAGCGTTGGGAGACAATGAAGAGGAGTGGATTTAAGACATCCTGATACTGTTCTCATAGTCGAGTTCAGTAGTGTGTCGATTTTCTGAGCATATGAATTGTTTATCCATACCGGCGCGCAGTATTCTGCAGTAGAACAAACCAGTGACAGGGTAGAAGATTGTAGCGTGGTTGCTGCGGCACCCCATGTAGAGCCGCAGAATTTTTATGTGATGTTATTGCGAATTCGGATTTTCGCAGATGAGTTTAGTGGATGTTTTTTAAACGAGACTGTAAGTCCAAGGTAACGCCTAAGTATTTAGAGAAATTTTAGTGCTACAGGGTTATGTTATTAAGTATTCCATTTTATTATTCAAATGGAACGGGGTTGATCTCAGTCTTTTTTAGGTTAGGTGTTAGTCTCCAGTTATAAAAGTACTTCCTCATAGCTCTTAGGTCATTAAAGAGGATCTTTTCAGTGGTCTTAATGATTTTATGTTGGGCGGCGAGTACTATATCATCAGCATAGATAAATTTTCTTAACCATAAGGTTGGTAGGTTCGGTGTATAGAGTAAAAAATGCGGGTGTAAGAACTGAGTCCCGCGAGAGTCCGTTGGTCATTTTGTTTTCCACAGTTACGCAGAACTATCTATTGGACAACATGTTGCCAATAAGTTTTATAATGATCAAATCTACAAATGTTTTGGAGCATCTCTGAAAGCAGCATCTGGTCGGTGCAGCTTTGTTGTGTTCTGAAACCAGCATGTTCGATGGGTATAATTTATAAGACTTTGGGACCAATTATGTGCAGAATAAGCCTTTCGAGAAGGTTATAGCAGAAACTCAATATTGCGATAGGACGATAACTTTCGGCCTGCTCCAGGGTGGATCTTTTAAAAGCCTTCTGCAGACGCCATGTCAATAGAATGTGAGTATAAAACTTAGATAACCACCCAAGGCACCTCCGTCCAAGATGGACGAGAAATTCAGGATGCATCTTATTAAAACCTGGGGCTTTACCAGATTTAATATATGTCAGGGTCGCTCTTAACTCATTTATTGAAATTTTTTTTGAAAGCTGGGAACTGGTAGGTGCGTTTTGTCACAAGGTTTTAAGTGATTTTTTAACCTCCTTTATATGTTGTGGGTCACGAGGAGCGCTGGATAGTGATTTTATTGTACTTGTGATTTGATTTGGGAGTTATCAGTGAGGCTTTACGTGTAATAAGGTCACTCTTGCTCAGCTACCTTAAAAGACTGCAAGTTCTGAGCTTGAATTTAAAAAATCAATGATTGAGTGGTTTCCATCAATTTTTCGCGGCGTTGTTTGTCAAGATTTTAGAAGTAACTCGTCGGCTACTGTTGAGTCCTCAGAGTCCATGTAGGTGAATGTAAACCCACTCCATTAAACTTCACCAAAACTTATTTGTAACAATATATTTCACTTATTCACACGAATAGCTAATCCTTGAAGCAACCCGAAAAATATTACTTTTATCTCTTTATCTCAATAATAAGCGTTTTCTCCTCATCAAAAACAATTTCAGTAATTTGTGTTTCATAAACTTTGCTTCACCACAATTTTTTCAATATTTTATCTAATTAAATATTGTTGACACCCTCTTAATGAAAACGCTATCACGCCGTTTGGGTCTTTTCGTACTTCTTTAGAGAAAACGCGGTGGTGCTGCTAGGGATTTTTTTCGACAGTGGTTTTTGAATACCTGTGGTATCCAAAGGGTTAAAGCCAACAAGAAGTAGTGCTGTCCAATCATGTACAGCACAATCGTCCATCATTTTAAGATGGATGAAAACCAAAATTGCCATCTATAGAAATACTTTAATACATCCAATATGTACTAAACTTTATTGCTTTTGAACCCTAGAAAAACGTCAGGACTTGTGGAACTGATAATCATATTTTATAAGATAGAGTGAAAGCCGGCGTTACACGTAGTAGTAGACTGCTATCGCAGTAACGTCAATGGGTGTAATGCTACTGCTATATCAAAAGTAGAAAGTTTTCTAGCGATAACAGTAACTTTTATAACAGTCAACTGCGATTGCAATAGCCATATAATATAGACACGGCCCGACAACTCTCTGCGGGTTTTGACCTGTTCCAGCATATTTCGCCATCCTGATCTGTTACAAGACGTCTGTCATGGTTTTGGGGTCGCCCTTTACCTGGTCTAGGTATCTTATCTTGGACCGCCCCCTATGCCTTGTTCCGTGTCCTATCCACCAAATAATAGACATTGTGGAGTAAAGAACACATTATTTTCTTGAGTACTGGATTATAGAGTTGATTCTAATTATTAAACGTTTACTAAAGCCTTGCAATAATACTAAATATGCATAGGTGAAAAAGAGACGGCTTTTATAAGTCGATCTTAGACATGAAAATTTGTAATTAAGTATTTTAAATCATTTATGTCAAGAATATTAAAAACAATTACTTTTAGTAAGTTTAATTATTACTAAATGTTTTAATCATTTATGCTAATGCTTTTATGATCTTAAGTAATATTAAAAGAAATTTTGTTTACCTGTTTACTAAAACTATCGCAATAATTCGCGCAATCGTTCACCCTTAAAAATTGCGCCACATCAAAAACATTCCAATCGTCTGGACAGAGTTCGCTAGATTCACAAGATCCTCCACTACTATCTATTAATCGAGGTATAAGTTTTGTACTTGTATTATTAGACGTCTGCAAGAAAGAACAAAATATTAATTTAAAGAATAATCGGTTTATGTTTCTTTTAAATAATTTGAGGTTATATTTACGTTAATATAAGAAGTAGCTTTTCTTTCGGCCGGAGGTAAACATCCTAAATTTTCATTGTTACCCGTTGTAGGATCCTGCTGATTCGATTCAACCTCTAAAGGTTCTTCTTCTATATCCGCTTCCGATTTCATATCACGATCTGGATCCACATCCATCGAATCCTCGGATTTTACACTTTTCTGAGAGAGAGCTTTTGGCGATGACGTTTCTTTTATTTTCTTTTTCCTGCCGCGTTTCTTCATACCTAATTGAAATTCTACTTAGCTGCTTTAATATACAAAACACCAACAAAAAAATATAAAACAGAAAAGAAGTAAGATTTAGGTTATGCTCCAAAAATTGTTAGATAAATAAAAATAATTTAAAATATTTAATTGAAAATATTATTTTAAATGTTTAATATGTATGTTAATTTATTAAAATTTTTTCTTTATTTTTAAAAACATTAATTAATTTGATACATTTTTAAAAAAGACAGAACATCTAATTCATTCTACAAAATCTAACATAAAATTTTTGTTCAAAAAATCTATTTTGTACATGTACAACATGTACAATGTACATTATTTAGATGTATAAATGGAGAAAATGAAAAAGAGGTAAGAGGATAAGTTGTCTTTGTGTTGTTTTACTTATACAAAGTTTTTTAATAAGTATATTTGTGTCTTTTGTTGTAATTGAGTGAAAATTTTTTACACATCTTTCTCTGAATTTGCGGCAGATTAGGAGTTGTACGGCAATTTCTTAATAGAATCCATTGATAACATAATGAAGCGAAGTTGAAATGGATAAGTTGCCCCTTCATATACAGTTATTGTTGGACTTGTTATTGACAATATGTCTGGTGTAATGATAGCTTGACTAAGTAATAATTCCTTTTCGTGGACAATTGCTATTGAGACAACATATCTCCAATAAAAACTACAAGTATAGAATGGAAATCAGTAAAAATAGGCATAGATTGTAGTCATACTCCGCTGTCTGTGTCTTTTTAACGTAAAATTTGTTGCACGAATTCTATTAAGAACTTGTATTGCGCTATTAAATTATTAGTTACTTATTAACTGTGATTGATTCTCATTGTTTGTGGGAGACCGTTTAGTTTATGGCATGAAAATTTGGTCTAAAATGTGAGTGTGGTAAAACATTGGGATTAGCCGCGATCTTCCGTGCAATCATAGTTTTCAAGGTCTAATGAATGATATAGTACAAGACCACCTAATTTTACTATTTTATTTATTTTTCTTTTAAACGAATTCTCATTTTGTTTAAGATTCAGAGGATACCTCTGTGGTTATAGTAGTAACGCGTAGACCACTTTTTGACAAAATGCAGGATCAAGACTCGACAAATTTTGACGAAAAGTTAGCTTATCTTAGTAGTTATATTTTATCACAATATGGATATTGCAATGAACAAAAGAAACAAGTGAAGCATTCATATCCTTACTTAAAGTCTCGATTTAAGAAAAGGTGGATAGAGGCTAAAAAAATTACTTCAAAAGAATGATAAATTGCTACAAGGAACATTCGGTCGCCCAACATTGGCATTTGCAGAATTAAGTGAGAGGGGTAAGCGCAGAAAAACACAGGACGCTCGCAGAGTTGTAGAAAAAGATGTGTTAATGCATGCTTCTCAAACATCCTTTCAAAGTTCTGGAGAGAGAATTGCGTCCAATATTCTTAAAGACATTTCTAACTCTCCGCAGCAAATGCATATCAAAATGCAATTACCTTGCAGGATTTATTGGACCACACAGCTAAACGTTTGGCTATGTATTTAGAAGAGGTACAAACGCAATTCAAACAAAAAATAAAGGACGGCGATTGGAGTGACAGCAACATTTTCCAAAGTTGCTTTGTTCCGCTACGGTTAGTTTGTGAGTTAAACAAAAAAGTTGTTTGGCAAAATCCAACTCCTTCTTCGCCACGGTACTATCGACCAATAAGGATCAGATTTGTCAAAGAAACAGTGGATATCATTCAATCTGAAATCGCGTACGTAGAAGACGTTAAAAAAAAAAGAGATGCGTCGACGTTTTTTCGTATAGGCCGTCCAAATTACACAAAATCCCATATACGGTATGTAAAATGAACCCCGAAAATGTAATTTGGACGGCCTATACGAACGAAAGTCGATGCATCACTTTTCTTTCTGACTGTACATAAACTTATATCCATGGCACCTCATGACTCCTATTATGCACAAAATCGTAATCCATGCGGCAATTGTTATAGAAAATGTTCTATTGCCGATAGGGCAGAATTACGCAAGAAAATTTTCTAAAGAACAATGCAATATAGACGTAATGAATAGATTATTGCTCTGCTCAGATCCATTATTGTCTAGCATTAGACAAAAACCACGAAATAAATCTATGCCACATAGTAAACAAGCCTTAGAAATGCTGATTTCTGCTGAGCCCTACATGGCTGGCAAGATGAGGAATCTATCGCAGAAGATTCTGATAGTGAATGAGCCAATGGAGCTCTGATGAACTCTTTGTTTGAAATTAGGGTTGAAATATTTTTTTTAATGTTAAATTGTTTTTTATTTTTATATATGTTTACCAAAAGCGTAAAACAACTGAAATAAATCAAAATAAACGTTTTTGAACACATAAATTAAAAATGTAATAAAAATTTGTTAATTTGCATGCTTGGAATTCAAATTCAGAAGGTTGACTCAAACATATTCATAACCAAAGAATTACAAGTCTACGAAAAAGTATAGGACTCATAAGTAACGAATCCAAAACAAAATAAAACTACATATGAAATTACTCATTTGAACGAGTACATAGGCTCATATATTTAGGATCCAGAGTGAACGAACTAAATATTGTCATTGAAGAAATCGATGCTAAAATATTTAGCGGTAATAAGTACTAACAAACACCTAATGATGGGTAAAACACTAGGCTTACAAACGAAACTCAAGATTTTACAACATATGGATGCGAAGATGGATCATGTCTACTGGAGATCAAAACAAATTAAGAGTCTTTGAAAGACATAACAACTGGAAATGATGCAGAGAGACAGAAGAATATTAAGAGAAGTGTAGAATGCATATCACGGGGACAGAGAGCTGGTGAAAGCCAAAGAAAGATGGAAGGATGATGTGATGGAGAGCTTTACGTTTGGTATATGAAACCGGAAGCGTGCAGCTTCTGACCGATCGAAATGACAACGTGTTGCGAAGCAAGCCAAAGCTCACAGTGAACTGTAGTATTAGAAGAAGAAGACTTATCAGTGATCCCACATCATGACACGTGAGTAAAAAGTTGTTGCATGAGAATTGCCATTTTGATTGGGTTTTCATGTTTGTTACTAGAAGTTAATTAAATTCCATTAATCTATTTGCTTTTTTAATGATTACATATATTTTTTTATTTAAAAATACAATTGTTAGAAAAATTCTTTGCTGAATAATTTTACACAATTTTGAAATTTTTGATCGAAATTGAAAAATAAATAATATACTACACAAGAAATATCAAACATTATGTTTTAGTGTCATCCTATAATAATGTAAGTAAGATTCTCCTAGAACAATGTTTCCCAAACTCTGGTATGTATACCCCCAAGCGTACATGAAAGGTTTAGTGGGGGTACCCGCTACACGGCTTGCCTGCGCCTGGTGCAACGAACATTTTGCGTTTCTTTCATTACAAACATAGATAAATAATAAAAAATTCGTTAGTTGTTACTGGTTTCACCGAGGGTGTGATTCTGCGTATTCCCAACCCTGTGTCGGACATAACTCGAATTGCTCGATTCGGCGGCCGCGTTAGATTAGTAACTAAATTAACTAAACTTTAGTTAGTCGGTCAGCAGCCTGGCATTTACTAAGTCAAACGCGTGCTTTTTCGTTCATCCGTTTCGATTCGTATATCCTCGTTTCGTTGTGCTTTTGTGTTTTTTTGCTGTGTAAAATGTCTAACTCAACCGCAGTCACAGTGTCTGACGATGACAGCAGTGGCAGCGAATCAGTTACTTCTAAAAAACGTAAACGTGTTTGCTAATACAAGCATGATTGGGAGACTGGTTTTTTTTTTGATAAAACCTTGTGAGGACAAGGCGTTCAAAGTTTTCTGCACATTGTGCAAAAAGCATTTCAAGGGGTGTCGAACATCAGAATAGAGTCACACAGGTGAAAACCAACCAATGTATTGCGAAGTTCTTTGGATCCCAAGCAGGCACGTCATCATCGAAAAAGTTCCTGCACATAGTGCATAGACATCTTACCTTTCGTTAGACTGCATATCTAAACTGGTTCCTATGGTATACCCGGACTCCAAAATGTTGGTGACATGAAATTAGGAAGGACCAAAGCATCCAGCATAGCAAGCAGCCGTGAAGAGATTGGTTGATAAAGACATTTTTTTATTCAACAGGTGCAGGTGCAGCAAACCACGGTAACATTAAAATGAACCCTTTAGTGGTAAGATACTTCACATTACAAGACGGCTTGAGAAACTATTTACTGGATTACTATGAAGACGCTAAAGAGGCATCAAACGATATATTTACAAACATAAAAAACAAACTTGCCGAAAATGGCTTGAAATTGAAAAACATCTCGTTATTCCGCTGATAACGCCAATGTGAACTTTGGTCGTTTTAATTCAGTTCTCGCATTTATGAAGTCACGCAAAGAGAACAGGTGAGCTAAAGATGTTTCAATTCATGGATATAGAATTCTCGCCCTGTGACCACTCGATGGTTATCGTTGCATTCAGAAATAGAAAACTCTACAAAAATCTGATGGCTGTGAAAACATACAAATATTCTCAAATATTTTAAGACTACTGATTTTGCGGCAATGCAGAATCAGGTTCGGGTATCGGAAATACCGAAGATGTGTTGGAAGCAGAAATATATTTGGCGTTTTACCACCATTTCGTGGCCAACTTGAAGGTGCAAACAGGCTGATATGCAGTGTGTACAGAATTATGGACCGTTTAATGCAAAAACTGAAGCAACGTCTTGAAGATGCTTTCTTTGTTATGAATGTGCAATAATCACTTCGAAAATTAGTAGAAAAATATAAATCCATATTTCTCACCTGGTACAGAGACGCAATCAAGTATCTTGAATCATGAGTTGACTTTAACGAAAATACTAATAACTCAGCTAAATATAAATGTCGACCTAGATGCATTATATGAGTATTTTGTGCTAAAGTCCTCGATACCGGGATACGCATTCTAAAGTCAACAACAGATGAAATTAATGAAAACCATTTTTTTGTCAAATTACTTCAGTTTGTGTTTTCGATCCCAGTCTCCAATGTACAGGCTTAAAAAATCGTTTCCTTGTGCAGAAATACATGGACTTGAAACAGATTAGATATACAAAGTGTGAAGGCAGAATTACAAATAAAAAGCAACTTTAATTTGTCATGCAAAGGCTTTTATAAATATATTTTAGAAAACGATGAAGCTCTTAACTAAAACCACCCATAAATATATGTAGGTAATTCTCAAAAGTAAGTAATTTGTTTATGGAAAAATGAATGTACTTTATGTTACGTAAGTGTACATTTAATGTGTTTTTTTTTGTAACACATTTAGTATCAAAACATAAATAAGTGGAGTTTTATTATACATAATCATATATATTTTGACCCCAAATCACGTATTTTTTTCAGCTAAGCCCAGTAAAACAAAAAATAGAGCTGGCAGCCCTAGTTAGAGGGTATATTTACTCAATGGACCTGGTTCTAGTGGACAATTGCAATGATTTTTACGAAAACAAAAAAGAATGCTTGTTTTTTGAGAAAATGTATCATAATTAATTTGTTAATTTTAAAGTTCTAATGAATAATTCTGAATTAATTTACTAAAATTAAGTAAATAGTTAAGAAAACTCATTATGAAGTTATTGAAGAGACAATTAGAAACACACGATATAAACTTTGATCTTGGACCAATGAAATATAAACTTAAAAACAATTATGTTGAGGTTAAAAATTAAAAGTATTACCTTTCGGCGGTGTTAACAGTTTCGGTTCTTGTTTAGGTCCCTCCAATTTATGCCCAACGCTTTGACACCAACCAACTGGATAAATATCCGGACTTTCACAATCTAACCACTGATCATACTCCTCCTCCCAACCATCAAAGTGTACTTTTAACAGCCTCCCCACAACTTTAGCCACCGTCGCTACACAAACCAATCTCGGATCCATTAAATCAGCTGCTTCAATTTTCATTCCTTCCCGGAATCCATGCGTTGGAACAAAATGATTTATCAAACTAACCGTAACTGGAACTTTATAAGTGTTTTGTAAGTAACTATTCCAATCGAACGTAAATTGGTCATATCCTTTTGGTGGCGTTAAAGGGATATTGTTCTTTTCGCAAAATCCAACGGGAAATATACATGGTGAACTGACATGGTAACAAAACCAATCGGCACCCGTCGCGTCTGAATCGTAAGTATCGATACGGATCATGATGTAACCGTAGTTTAAAACATCCATAACAGTCGCCACACAAATTGAGCTTAAATTTAACGGGTCGATTGCTTCTAGTTTCATTCCGATTGAAAAACCGGAATACCCGGTGTTTTCTTTAAAACCAACTTGAAAAGGGGTGAATAATTCGTCCGTTGCGTCTTCTTCGTCGAAAATACCTTCGTGAACCTTTTCGAGGTAATTTAATGGGGCTACTAAATGATGACCAACCTAGAAATCATTTAGATTGATACAAAACGGATTATTACAAGTGAAACAAAGAAGAACATCTTGAATTATAGTACCTTTTTAGCCCATCCAACCGGATGTAATAAAGGTGAATCTTCATGACACCAAAATCCAGCATCATCAGGTGGCATATCATAATATTTAACATTAAGTCGTTTGCCAACGATTTTATGGATCATAGCAACTTTCACTTGGGAAATTCGATTTTTATCAACAACCTCGAGATTTAGTCCGCATTGAAACCTCGATTTAAGGCTGTCGTTAATTTTATTGCTGTAATTAGAAGGCAAAGTTCTCGCGCCCGTTAGCCTCTTCCTTAAGAAATCTTTCCAATCCCCATATTTATCTTCAATAGTTTTGGGTGGAATAAGAGGTTTACCGCGCGTTGCACACCAACCGACCGGGTGTACTTGATTTGAACATAAAGAAACCCAAAAATCTTTGGTCGAATTCGAACCAAAACCTTCGTACCTCAAAAGCGCTTTATAACCTATAATTTTCATAACAGTTGCAACCCAAAATGAATCGGGAAATGTATCGGAGATGTTATCGCAATCTGTGTTTTCAACTTCAACTTTCATGCCAGGTAAAATACTCCCCCAAATATCCGCCATTGGAACGTGTTTAAAACATGTAACCGGAGCGGCAACGAAATTTTCGGTTTCAAGTTGTCGATCCCAATCAAAAGTATTCGCCAATTCGGGAGGTTTCCGTCGAGTTAACGGAAGGTTATCATCGATTGGTTGCAGTTCCGGCGGTCTTACTAATTGAGGCAACGGTTGGTCCGAGATTAAACCTGAGAGATCTTCCTGAGACTCCAATTTAAAACTATGGTGGGCGTAGGGTTTGTGTTCCGGGGTGGTTTGAGGCGATTGAGGCAAAGGTTCCGGTACTAAACCGCTGTAACCCCGAGCGCAAGCCATACTACAAAACCGACGTTCTCTTGTATAAAATGCGTGCTTAACACCCATTGCGCCACATTTTTCACATATCGCTATCCCGTCTTTTTGTATAGGTATGACAGATGGATCAGTATTACTTTGGTAAGCAATTGGTGTCTTAAGAACTAAACCTGGATGTTTTACCGGTTTTATCTTTCTCGTTGGACATGGTATCGTTTGAGTGGCTGTATTTATCATGTAAACAGGTTCAGAATTATCATCATCTATGTAACTTCCGTTACTATCCTGTTTTATATCAACCATTGGTAACATATCTAATCCTTCCATAACCTTCAAAAAATCAAAATGTTTAAATTAGTAAACATGAAATTCGTACATGACTAATATTTAAAGAAGACTTTATCAAGAAATATTAGCTTCTTTCATGATTATATCATATGACACAGTCATATTCCAGATAATCCAGACCTTCAAGGCGACCACAAGTTAAAGTATAAAGCATAAATAGAGCTGCTTCAAACACAACATACAAGAAACAACTACAGAGATCTACAAAAAGGGACAGAAGAATAAACACTGGATCACCCAGGAAACAATAAAGCTAATGGAAGAGAGAAATCTAGTGAAGATGAGTGATATCGAAACAAATTCAAAAGAAGTGCCGAATGAGATAAAAACAACTGCATTAAAAAGATATGTGAAGAACTGGAACAACACCTTGACGCTTTATACTCGTACACAAAAATGTGAGAATTGCCAGAGGATCACACTTATCTCTCATGCTAACAGAGTCCTGTTGAGAATAATCGATCAAAGGATAAATTACTATCTGAAACGACAAATCCCTTCAGGAACCAGAGATCAGATCTTCATTATCCGACAACTGATAGAAAACTCACAAGAATTTTACTTTAAAAACTTGTAATTATCATCTATTTTGATAAGAATTTTCATGAAATGGATCTAAATAACTGTTAGCAAATGTATTCCAACAGCCTCTTATCTCAATGTCTTCTAACCCATTAGTCTAACACCATTTCTGCACTTGTTATGGGAAACCTTTTCAGCTATTCTGTGTACTAATTTTATTTCTGTAGTCTCTAGCATTGTTTTTGTTTTGGATATCTTGAGGCTCCTCACCCACTTCCTGGCCAAACACTGCAAGTTACGTAAGCACATGTTCTATATGAAGCTGGCGAATACATCCCTCTGTAGAGGATGTGAAATGGAAGACGAGACGGTAAGTCATATTGTGTGTGACTGTCCCAACCTCGGAATTCACTTTTGTTTTCACTTAAGGAAAACATTGGGCTGGTTTTCTGACCCTTGAATGAATTGTTAATTGTGGGGATGTACAAAGGGCCCGTTGGGGTCTAAGTGCTGTGAAGGGAGTCTTGGGTCGGGTTCTTGCTGCATAAGTTAATAGAAGTCTAATTGCAGTCTTGTTGATCGAATCTTGAAAGAAGGTGTATTATATCGTTTAACTGTATTCAGTCAAAAACCTTCTGCAGATTAAAAGCAGATCAAAGCTAGTTATGACTTTTCTGTTATTTGTCTTATGAAAATGATGGTAAATTTATTTCTCTATAGTTTTCTTTCATTATTTTTCACCCTTTTCAAATAATAGTATTGTAATGCTAGTTCGCCATTCTCTGAGATTCAATATTAGGATACAACTTTTTTATTAAAGTTTTAATTGTTGATTTAGGTTCTCTTTCCCATGTTAGAGTAACTCGTAGGTGATGTTATCTTGATCTGGACTCTTTCTGTTCTCACGTTTTTTCAATGATATTTCTATTTTTCTTTTCTATTACAGCCTCATTGTCGGTTAAAATGTCTATTATATTTGGTACAATTTCCCTATTGTAGGATATTTTTTACCAAAGTATCTCTTTCTGTATTTCTGGTGTTAATGAATTCATTTGCTTCTCTCCTTTGACTTTTAATTAATCGTCAAATTAATAGCCCATAGAAGTCTCTTTCCATTCTTTTAAAGAATATATCCCAGATAAAAGCTAGTTATGACTTTTCTGTTATTTGTCTTATGACAATGATGGGTTTCATGCAAGATTCATCTGGGAATCAATATCTGAATGAAATTTTCTTATTAGTGTTTTAATTGTTGATTTAGATTCTCTTTCCCATATTGGAGTAACTCATTGGTGATATTGCCTTGGCCTCGATTCTTTCTGTTCTTACGTTTTTGCAATGGTATCTCCGTTTTTCTTTTCTATTACAGCATCATTGTCGGTTAAAATTTCTGGTATATTTGGTACAATTTCCCTATTGTAGGATATTTTTTACCAAAGTACCTCTTTCTGTATTTCGGGTGTTAATGAATTCATTTGATTCCCTCCTTTGACTTTTAATTAATCGCCAAATTAATAGCCCATAGAACTCACTTTCCATTCTTTTAGAGAAGATATCCCGCTAATCTTCAAAGTACATATGACAAATCAAAGTTATTGAATTACGAGCGTTGTCATGGCCTTTTAATCTTATCGCCAGTATATTGTCTCCCAAATAAGTCGATAAAGATACAACACTGATTGATAGCTGAATGCGCTTACAAAGCAAAAGATTTTCTTTGGGAGTCACGACTTATCATAGAGAGAGGAAGAAACCTGCACAAAGTCTTACAAGAAGATAAGTTATGCATACTATCCCTAGGACAACCAACTTATTGGTCTTGCAACATGAGAAAGATACCGGAGATGATAGCTTTCTGAAGACATCCGTGTTTTGATCTTTCATGCACTACGCACCCAAATAACCTAACTTGACAAACCTCCAAGAAATGATTGCCGATTCAATTAACTTAAAAATTTCTCTTATCCTCCAAAACGGATATCGAAAGAGCGGTAAATAGCTTAACAATATGCATTGAAAAACAAGTGATATTAGCAACATGATTAAAAAATGGAAAATCTGGCACTAAAACAGGAATAAATAGGACTATCCGTTTGCTGCAAGAAGCCTTAAAAGGATACAAAAACGAAAATCTTGAAAACTTTCTTATTAATCCTCTAATGATAAGGAAAGGAATTATTCAATATGGAAGCTAACATAGGAAAAGTGATGGAGTTTTCAGAAGTAACGAAGAGAAAACAAACATTTTTGCGGAGCATCTACGAAATGTCTTTCAATCCCACCCAGAATTACTTCAGCACAAAAAATTAATTGACACCTCACTGAACGCTTTCTATAAAACTGCACGACTTGACGTTTATCTTCGGACTGCCATTGTTTTCAAAAGTATTTGAAAAACTCTTATTGAAGAGACTTTAGAACATCATAATAGATAAAAGACTAATCACACAGTAATCAGATCAGCCAGAGATGCATTGGAAGCCAAAAAGTATTATACAGTTGCTTTCATAGATGTTTTTATAGATATTTTCATGTAAGACACAATGACGCATATTCGCCTTTGCTACCAATATCTTAAACCTTTTATACACAGTCAATTTGCCTACGACAAAAAACGCCATGATTCCAACATATATGAATGACACAGTAATTATAGCTACTCATGTATCTCTTGAAATAAGTAATGGAAGAGTGGCTAGAACAGTGGCAAGTAAAAATAAATCTTAGTAAGTTCACCCATAACACCATTAAACAAGATACCTTTGCCCGTTTAAAATGACGTCAAATATTGGATACCTGGATCACCAAAAAGAAATATGGACGAAGCGGCTGCAACAAGCGATGCTATATAGGAAAATGTACTAGTTTATGAATAGGAACTCATAACTCAGTCTAGACAATAAGTTGTTTATATATATATATAACACTATACTGAAACCTGTTTTGGAATACGGAATTCAGTTATGGACCACCGCCAACGAATCAAACATCCTATTCTTGACGGAATGAAGAACCCATCAATCTGTTATCCTACTACAAATTGCGATCACTATGCATCAATCCAAAATGGCAACTGAAGCATCTTATGTTATAACCAGAGCCGCGATGTTTCGGGCTGTTGATGTCACCATCTGTATAGAGTAGCGAACGGGTTATAGCGTAGTAGTAACATGCTTTTATCGAGCACATCGATGTGCCGCAACGTAACGATACTGGCTGAATGCTGGCCTATGCAAAATTTGGGGGGGTTCTCTGCGGTGCAGCGTTCAATACGTGTTTGGCCGATTGTCTGACTAAAACTCAACCAGTGGCGTGGTATACTATATGTGGCGTGATGTGGTCCATGTGGTCCGAGTGTCTACCGTAAAGCGACGAGCCGCCAATGAGTTGCCCGACAACGTCGCGGCTCTGGTTATAACTCATGTTTTGGCAAAACATAAATAGCCTTATCGGGATCGGATATTTTTTAAGGGAGCTTTTCTTGAGGGCTGCGAGTAATTATTTTCCAACTTTAAAAATAAAAGTGAAATTCGCAATGCAATTAAAGATTTGCAACTTTCTCGTAACTCGTCGTATTAAAGATATGAATAACACTGTAACTCGACAATTTGATCCATATAAAGTTGTCGTTTCTTTTCGGTATAGTTTGATGAGTCAACAAATATTATAAGAATGTTTTTTTTTGGGAAAAGAAGAATTTTTAACAATACTTCCGATAAAAAGAATAACGCGAGTTCCAGATATGATGGCAACTTTTATGCCATTACCCAAAAAAACAAATTTGCCTTTGCATAAATTTTTTGCTATGTGTATCGACGCAGCACCTTCAATGATTGGTAGAAATCATGGATTTTTAGCCCTTTGCAAACAAAATGAACAGTTTCCTGATTTCATATCCTTTCATTGCATAATTCATAATAATGCTTTATGTGTAAAAATTTTGGATGTTAAATATATTATGGATGTAGCAGTGAAAATTGCTAATTCTATAGTATAAGGAGGCGTCTATTCCCTAGTTAACTTGAAGACAATAACTCGAAATATGAAGATTTATTTCTTTTTTATCATGTTAGGTGCCTCAGCCAAGGAATATTTTGGAAAGATTTCTAAATCGCGTTTCAGGCATTATTGTATTCTTGAACACATTGGGAGAAAAACATGAACAATTGGAAGATCCAGTATGGGTAAAAAGAATTGCATTTCTTATGGATTTTATGGGCCATTACAACTCGCTTATTGAGTTGTTCAATTCGGTAAATGCTTTTAAAGCAAAATTAAAACTTTTTGCTTCACAATTAAAAAGGCAAAATATTAAAAATTTCTATATTTAGAAAAACATATTAAACTTACTGGTGAATGTAATATTGAAATGTTTGGTCTGAACTGGAAAATTTTAATCATGAATTTGAGAGACGATTTGTAAATCTTCAACCGATTTTTAAATTTATTTAATTTCCTTTTCAACTTACTTAATTCATTGGCTCTACAGTTAGAATTAGAAATTTTAACAATACAATCAGATATAATTCTGAAAGCATGTGTAAATGAGAATTATTTTTGGAATTTATTACCAGAAGAAAAATATCCATTATTGAGATCGGTGGCAATGAGGATATTTGCATTTTTTGGTTCCACTTATTTATGTGAAGCAGCGTTTTCTCAAAAGAAGAACATCAAATCGCAATTTAGGAGTTCTCTGACTGATGACCACTTAATGGCATCTATATGATTAAGCATCAGTGATTAGAAATCTAACTTTACAAGACTTGTTGATGAAATGAAATGTCACGCATCTACATCAAAAAATTAATCCAAAATATTTATCAATAAAGTACATTGCACAAAATAGGAAATAAATTAAATTTTTATACCCATTTTTTAATGTCGATCATACCAGTATTAAGTTTACCTAAAGGTTAGTTTTGTTTTTGGGGCCACTATTGAGTGGGCTCCTTCTACCTATATAAGTCTATGTTTATTGTTGTTATATGCAGTAGATTAAAGTAATTCAACGTTTATTTGTTGTATTTGTTTATGTTCTTCTTCTTGTACTGATGTATAAATTTTTGGTTATGACATAATCCATTGTTGATTATTTTTGAGAATTTCTGAATGTATATTTATATTGAGATTTATAGCCCAAAAATATGTTATTGATTCTGAGATCATATGGCGAGGATAAGTTGCTCTTAACACAAATTCTATCAAAATCTCTTTTTCTTAAAATTCGTCAACCTTTTTCCTACATGGGTCGTCGTGCTTCAATCATTTCTATTCCAAGGCAAATTTATGGGTCTATGAGATATTTGATAATTGGTTTTCCTTCTTTTCCTAAGGTTAGGACCGACAAAATCGTTGGCAATTAGTCACTCAATCCACCAAACAGTCATGCAGGCCAAATGGTGTTCTATTTGTGTGTTTAATTTAAAACATAACAGAAATTCTTAAATTTTCATTTTAAGGGGGTAACATTTGTGTAACCCTGTTTCATTGTTCATATTGTAGGATTTTTGATTTAGATACTGAGTCAAATATTGAATACAATAACAATGAAGTTGTTGAAGACTACTCTGCACCAACACCACCAATGAAACAAACCAAAATTTCGGTTTAACTAAACCGAAATATTCCAATTCACATTCTCTCTTGCTACAAATTAAGGGTGAAACGAATCGTCGTTTGGTTGGATTACAAAAAACCGGAATTCTAGCCTTTTGCTAAGCTGGATCATTAGTTACTTCTTGGTAAAAATCATACTTGAAATGCATTCACTGACATTTCATCATAATATTTAAAAAAATAAATGTTCATTAAAAAAGAAGATTTGCTGGATGATTCAACTGGACTGGATTTTCAATCAAATGACCAGGTCAGTTGTCAGTACCCTCTCTGAAGATTACTGGGTACCAAAAATTAATACTGCATGAATGAACAATAGTTGCTTACAAGCTGAAATAGAGCTGGATAATAAATATATCATGACTGCAGTCAAGTAGAGCTATCTATTTTAGATCATTCTGTACCAGGAAATTATAACATTTAAACAACTTCAGGGAAGTATCAAGGAACTTACAAAAGAAGTTGATCAAAATCTTTGAATGATTCTGTCAAGGTAACATTTTTTAATATTTGAAATTCAAATATTGCTTGAATATTTATAACCATGAAATATTGCATTGTAACAGATATGCAAATTTGCTATACATGACAGAACAGATACAGCATGGTATGTTATTAACTTTGTATTTAATATTTCCAATTCATGGTTTTTCATACATTATTATTAATCTTGAATATATTTGTCGTGAATATTCCCAAGTATATCCTGCAAAATCTGTCAAATGACAGATCAAAATGTTAATTTATTTTCAAGTCACTAACTTAAACTCATAGTTTGTTTTAAAGAAATCTTTTTCATTGAAAAATTATTAGTAAAAACCTTCTTTCTTTTTATTGAACCAACTACTAAATTTGTCCATTCCAATTTTAAGCAACAATAAAGTGAATATTAATGAAGAAAGAAGCTTTTTTAATAAATTGTTATTTTTTATACCATTACCATTGGTGAATTGTGCATGTTTTGTATATCATCCAGAGAATGATTTGATGCACTATGATGTGACGGAGTATAGTAAGGACTGTCCTGTTCCAACATGAGTTCGTTGGTTTCATTTGGTATTAATCCGAGAGACATGTCAGCAGCAGCTTGTCCTGCACCCATCCACACCATTCCTATATCAGCAACCCCAGGCAATGTAAAAACTGTAAATGTCGAAATTGGTTGCAAAAATAAAACAAATAAAAGGCAAACAAAAAATAGAAAATAAAACAATTTTTAAAGGTTAAACGAAGAAAATCATACAATAATACTCACAAACAACTTATTGATACAGGTGTTTAAATTAAGATTCTAAAATACAAGTTCAAAGAAGGTTTACAGTTTTTATTGTGGTACGTGCACAAAGAAGAGTGTAGTGTAGAACATAACCAGACATGCCTAAACCAAAGCGGACTTTTTTTGATAGAATTTACATAAAAACAAAGCGTGTCTTTAACCTACCGTTCATTTTGTTAGTATTTTTTTGTTTAATGTCATATACCGGTTACGGTAACTCGCATTATTTTTGGGGGCGAAGAATTGATTTGGAAAAAACCCAAATCAAACGACTCGTTTATGAGCTCATCAAGCGACCGGACAATAGTGCTTTTTTACTTTTTAAAAGTGCCGTCCTGATCAGAGCCGCCAACATTCAAACTGGTATAAACTGAAAAACCCTAGATTAAAATTTATTTATTTTAATTTGAATTAAAAACTATTTATTTCTTTTTGTATCTTTGCTAATATTATTATTATTTAGATTTTTTTATATTGATAATAATAACTGCATATACAAAATACCCCTGCTTAATTTTGTATTACTTTATTAAGCAGGATTTAAAAACTTAATACTTTCATTTACGTTAATTATTGATTTTATTGTTATTCCCAAAAAGTGTTATTGAATTATTAATTAATACAATAAAATTTAAATTGATTTAGTGCAATAACAGTTGCATATTTATAGTAGAAAATTATTTTATGCCTATATGAATAATATTATACAGAGTGTTTCTGTAAGCTGTGGCATAATTTTAATCACAAATACTACAGTTAAAATGATGACAATTTTCAATATGATTTTTTGTAGAAAGATAAAATTTGGCAAACAGTGACACAAAACAATCATAAGATATCGTTTATGGGGGTATGCCACCTTGAAGATCCGAAAATAATAGGTATTTTTAAATTTTTTTGTAATCAGACGAAAGAAGTTTTCTAAAAACGGGTTGCAGGGTGCGAATAAGCCACTTTTCTAGTTTTAAATACATATTTTATTTATTAACAATTATTAAAATTGCACTCGCTAGATGTCGGTAATATTAGGCTTGCAAATCGTGCAGGGTCAAACTGTGCGCAGGATTTCTCCTAACGCGTAAGTCGAATAATTAAAACTTGAATACGATTACTTTAGTAAACTCAAAAACTAGGGAACTACGCAGGATTTTTAAAAAATATTAATTTTTGACGAAATGGTGACGATTTTACAAGAAATGTATTTATCGATAAAAAACGTACATAAAAATGGTTGTAAAACAGAGAATCTGAGACATATCGAAAAAAGGCTACGTACTTACCTAGAATAAGATAATATAAACTTTTGAAAAAAAAATCTTGAAAATTCGTTGAAAAATGTGGAAGTTATCGTATGCACAGATTTGAAAAATGTAGTTTCCAGAAAAACGCGTTTAAAGTTTTCGAATGTAAAAGATTGTATATTTTTTCTAGGTACATCTAATCAGCGATTCTTGCACCATACAGCTGTCCTTCCTGAAGCTGATTTTCATCTTCTGCAGCTTTTCTGTCTGACAGTAGGCTTCTACGAGCTTCTTTAGCCTGAGCAGTCATGGAGCGCCTTGATAGTTCTTCGTACACAAGTTTCACTGCGTTGAAAACATCATTGCCGATTGCTGGCTTGTGAGTGTACTCATCGATTTCTGACAAAGCGTACGCTTTTTGCCAGGAACACCACGAGTCAGCACCAAGTGGACAATTGTCATGCTTTGGAGTTTCATCTGTTGAAATTCTATGATACAAAGTAACCCAGATCTCTTTTTTCATGTCCTTCACGGAATCGCAATTTCTGCGAATAGCCAATCCATAATATAAGGAAAGTTCATCAATTAATTTTCTTTTGCCTCCTAATCCGCGGGTATTTCTTTTTAGATTTCGTAACCATGTGCCCATTCGTTTCTGAACGTGATCGACGCATTCTTTTTTGGTTACTATTACACTGTCATAGGGCTGAGCGTCCATAATACCTTTGAAGGTTTTGCTGTCTCCGTCTCCTATGTACAAACAGTACTTCAAATTATGTTTTTCTTCGGATCGTTGAAACATCTCTACGACGGAGTCCACTTCCATTTTTTCTTCAATAGCGTTTTTGAAAAATGATATTTTATGTTTTTTTTAACTTTTTTGTATAACAAGGTCAAAATACCTGCATGGTGAGGTGTGTTACAAAAATACCATGGTGAGGTGTGTTACAAAAATCAATTTTTTAGGCAGAAAAACATTCCGCAAATGTTTTCTGTCAATGGATTCTCATTCTAGACAGTATAAAGAACACTTTTAAGCAAAACCCCCTTAAGATCACTTTTGAAAATTTCCAACCACGGGATCACCGCTATACAGACTGTTCATAAAGTTTGGCTGCGCAAGCGCGGGCAAAAATTGAAGAAATACGGCTCGACCCGAACCACCCACACATATTTTGACTTCGCCTTTGTAACGCGACTTTTAAAAATTACTTTTATAAGTTACGCATTATTATAATATATATAAAAATTGTGATATAGTGTCGAAATCGCGATAGGGAACAGCGATAGGGACAATAAAGTAAGAAATTAATAATAATAATTATTCATGATCTTTTCCTTTTAATATCTTCCTTTTTTTTTGAATCAGTACCTTTTATTTTGTTAAGTACCTATGAAAACAAATTTGTAAGTAAAGTAGTAAGGCAACTGTCAAATTCTTACCCAACATTCGTTAGTCACGAATAGTTGTTTAAAATGACAAATAACACTGGTTTACAAGAAAAATCTCGAAGACTGTGATGTTTTTTTTATAAGGTAGAATGTTGTGCTGATTCTGAAACTGTTAATTTTATTAATAAACCACACTCACAATAAATATTTTTAAATCTTTTACTTCCTGCTTACCTAACCTGAGTTAACTTACCTTAAACTTTTTCGTTTAATCAAGTCTTGATCGGTAAGATCATAATATCACGATCGTATTCTGTCGACATTTGCTGATAATAATTTCTTCCAAATTCGAAAAAAGACCCACGCTATTCTTCCTTTGCACCCGTTCACTGTATTCTTCTAATTGTAAGAGCTACCTGGTCATCTATTCCATAACTTACTCATACTTTTCTATTTTCGTTTTGAAAAAGGTCGTCGATACGCAGCATCCTTGCTAGAGTCCTAGTGATATGGAAGTCATTTCACATTCTCAATCTTGATTTTACTAATGCTTGTTAGTATAAATTTCTGTTTAATTTCCTTGTTGTTCATTGTTTCCATTGCTTCCTATAAGTTGCTTTGTGGGATGCTATCATACGTTTTTTCAGGTCTATAACCACTATGTGGATTTCTTGTTTATACACTGTTTTTTTTTTTTTTCATTAACTGGGAGACACAAAAAAGATGATCTATTGTTGATTTTCCAACGCGAAATCCTGTGTCTGCTCCACAGCTTCCATATCTTTGTACTCTAGGTCTAATTTGTTTTCCAGAATCTGGCCATATACTTTATATAGCATGATCGTCATTGCTATACCTCTGTAATTGTCGCAGTTTTGCCTGTTTCCCTTTTTATGTATGGTGGAAATAAAGGCTATGTTCCATTCTTCTGGAATTCTTTCTCTACTGTGGCACTAAAGTCCCTATTTGGCTTTGACCTCCCTCAATTTTCGCCTCCACTCGTCTTTCTACATTGCCATCCTTTTTCTATTGTTCACGAGTATTAGCCTTTTAGTATCTGCGTCTATTGCCTCCTCCCACATTTTCTTTGTTTTTCCTACTGGGCGTTTTTTTTTTGCATTCTACTATCTGCTATTCTTTTTGGTAAACAATCTTCACCCATTCTTGTTACATGCCCTGCCCACTGCAGCTCTGATTCCGGTTGGTTCTCTTTGTTCTCGGTATATTTAATGATTACATCTCATTCCATGTATCCCGTTTTCTTGTACTGAATACTTGTACTCAATATACTCAATGCTTTTCTTTAGAAGGTGTCAATTGTATTTTCGCTTTTTTATGTAAGGCTCCATGTTCCAGAGCCGTATATTAGGATAGGCTTAATACATAGATATAGGATGGACTTATTGGATTGTACACACGTATCTTCGCGTTTCTGTGCAGGTTTAGTGATTTGAAGACATGTAGCAAGGCAAAATACGCTCCATTAGCAAGTACTTACGTATTTATATCTGAATCTTCCTTTCCATCATAAGTATCATTCCTAGGTAGCGAAACATATTTGATATTGTTATCAGTTATTCCAAGCGGGGTACCACACCATCTCTTGACTGTATTAGGATTTTTGTTTTGTTTGTGTTAATTTCCAGTCCTATATTTTTCGCGTTTTCTTTTAGTGAGCTATATTTCTTGTACTATCGTTAATGATTGTTCCATTATATTGATGTCATCTGCGTAACCTGCTAACTGAACTGTTTAGTTTGTAAACAGGTTCGGCCTACCTACTTCTGATTTCCTTCTTCTTCTCACAATGATAAGGCTTGGCAATGGGATTTGGAAACTTGTCCTTATTACTTTCCAGTCACTGCGTTTAAATTGCGTATTGTTATTCTAGTACGCTGTTTCTATTTACTATACTAAAAGGCAATTAACAAAAACCAAAACAAAAGCCCCGCGTATCGATTCTCTATGCATAACTACAAAAACATTGCGATATTCTACATATCTATGAAGCACCTATTGAACCAAAGCATTTCAAATGTAGCAATGATTATAAAATAAAAATAAAACAAAAGCCATGTAACTCATGCAATTTAAATAAAAGGAAAAAAGGAAACATACACATAAACTCTTCAGGAATGAAGCATTCCTTCTAAACAGCAATGATAGGTATTATTTCTAGAACACAAGAAAAGAATGAACACAAAAAACTAGATAAGTAAACAAATAAAATAACAAATTGTAAGTACGTTTTATCTTCCCTATCTAAAACCTTCATTAAATAAACTTTTCACTCTTAATAATAAAATAATATATATGTTACAGTTAAAACGCGTTTTCGGTCAAAACTAGTTTGGACCACAAAATTCAGTTATAACTACATTGAAATTCCCCTAACTCGAATCACTAAAGGAGCGGAAGAAAACTTCAAGTTATGGAAAATTCGTGTTAGAGAAACACATTTAAAGCCTAGTCAAACGCTTGAGCTTAGGAAAATTATTCGACTTAGAGGATAATTCGAGATATAGAAGTTAGAGTTAGGGGAATTTCACTGTAGTCTGGTCAAAAAGGGTTTTGACTGAGAGCGTTAGTCAAAAGTATATTCACCAATAATTGCTAGGCAAAATTCTTTTTCGGTTAGAGGAGAGGAGAGGGGGAGAGCAGAAGCATTAGTAGGCGAGAGATAGACTGGTGTGGATGCTTGAGCAACAGGAAAGGAAGAAAAACCATCTGTTTTTTTTTGTTTTTTTTTTCATGAAATCTTGGTTAAATAAATCTTACAGGCATCTAAACGAAACTATTTATTTGCGCAACTTAAACTATTATGGCACTTAGAATTACATAATAGTCCTTTTTTCTTACATAAACATTTATTATTGGTACAACCTTTAAAACAAACACATCTTGCATAACCTTGCTCTGTTCCTATAGAAGCTTTCCTGTCAGCAGTTCTTAAAGTAATTGTAACGTTTGACACTTCATCGCGACGGATGAATTTTTCGCTACAGCCATCACATTCTGACCTATTAAAGCAAAAGAAGAAAATCATAAAAATAAACGCATTTTTCACGACTCACGCCCCTACGGCCATACACATTTACGTCTACTTAAGCCGATCATACACGGGCGACAGTAGTATATCCGAGGTTCGCCATGCAGTCATTGCTTATAGCAGACTTAATGTTACCTGTGTATGGCTGGCCTTGTATGTATGAGTATTCACCTGCAGTATAATTTGTCCAATATGCCATCCCTTGTACCAATCTTATATAATTGCTCTGAACTCACTTCTAGTACAATTCCAATAATATTACGGAGTTCCGCCTTTCCTCTCCACGTCTGGAACTGGTATAGTAACGTTATCTCCGACATTCAATGGTGGATGTGATTGATCACTTGATTTTTTCATTCTTTCCGCCTGCTTTTCCAAATTGTAATGAGCATCTTTCCTTGCTGTTAGTATTAATAATTCATCACTACTACAAGGTGTGGCTCTCTCTTGATCTTTCTCTACCTCAGCAATTTCGCCTTCCTTTTCTATTTTATTTCCTTCATCTTCCTTGTAATATTCGTCATTTTCTTCTCCACTTTCGTTTTCTTTATTGTGTTTCAATTTCTGATTTATTTCAGTGATTGCAACCTGCAATTGTTCTTCATCTTCTAGTTTACTAATCACCTCTAAAGGTAAATTCGATGTCATTAGTCCCACTTTTGGTTCAGATCCAAATATTGCTCGATATGGAGATTGTTTTATGCCAGAATGAAATGCTCTGTTCTTCATAAATTGAACGAATCTGAGCCCATTAGACCAGTTAGTTGTTTTGTTGTCCCGCATCCAAGAGGCCAACATATTTTCCACATCTTTTAAAACTGAATTCACAAATTCTCTGCCGTTGTCTGAATGAAGAATGCATGGAGCTCCAAAAGTTAAAAAAATATCCAGCAAGTGATGCGCAACTTCCGTAGCTCTTTTTGTTTTAAGAGATCGTAAAACCACGAATTTAGTCAAATGATCTTGGTAGACCATAATAAATTTGTATTCACAGTCTGCTTGCGATTGCATGTCAATAAGATCGACTTGGCAACGACTGTTCATTTCGGTGTGGAGGATTGGTTTTGACGCCAGTCCTTGCTTGCTCTTACTTTTCTTATTGACTGACACTCTCAGTCAAAACCCTCTTTGACCGCTATTTTTCAGTTATAAATAGTATTGACCGATATATATCAGTCAAAACGGATTTTGACCGAAGCTTGCAGTCAAAACTATTTTTGACCGATTTCTATGGTTAAAACTAGTTTTGACGGAGAACGAGTTTTGACTGTATACTGAGAGAAATAGATTATACGAATCGTATTATAGAAAAAATATTAAACATGCAGCAATTCATTGTATTATCTTCATTATATTTATATGCTTCAGTACAATCTCGTCTCGCTGTCACATACGTATTAAATATTATATTACCTTATAGTATATTTTTAGTGCTTACAATCCATTTCTCTCAGTGTAGTCTTGTAAATATCGAAATTTTTGGTTTTCAATATATCTCTAATATCTTTGGTTTCTTACAAGTTGTGTTGTAGTAGTTTGAGTCTTAATTCCGATCTTGTATCTTCATATAGTGGACATTCAAATATATTGATGTCCCCCCGAGTTCCACAGTCACAGCCCGGGCTATCTCTTTGTCCAATTTTATGCAAGTACGCTTCAGTTGTAGCCTGTTCGGTTCTTAGCCTGTTAATCAACGTATAAAAGTATCTCGAAACGTAATGAATTTCTGCAAACCAAGTAGGTTTTCCAATGTTTAGCTTTATTTCAGCATACCATCTTCCTTTGTATAATGTTGTTTCGAGCCAATCTACCGCCCATTCCTTGATAATTGAATCTATGAGACAAGGATATGTGTCCATGACATCAATACACACTTGCCGCTGGGTTAGGCCTTCGAGCCAAATGATCTGCTGTCTTATTCCGATGAATTCCGCAATGAGATGGTACCCAACACAACTTCACTTCCAGTCTCTCAGTCTTAATAAAACTCAATTTCTTCATAACTGATGCAAATAAGTAGTGCACCGATCTTCCTGGTCTAAAGTTTCTAAGTGCCTGTAGCGTACTAAAGGAATCAGTAAATACAATAGTCTTCTCAAGCTTTTGACGTATTATTATATTAAGAACTTCACCAATGGCCAGTATTTTAGCTGCAAAAATGAACATGCGAGCTGGTAGTCCTATCGATAATTGTGTATCATGGGTGGGAGTGTAAACACCACATCCGACCGCTCTGGGTTCGTGTACAAGGGAACCGTCTGTAAAGAAAAATGCGAAGCCCTTCCATCTGTCTCTCACATATTCCATAAAAATGTTATCAGCTCGGAATATCAAAGATCAGTCCAAATGCCTCGAAAGATATTTCATATGAAACTGTAAAACTGCTATGTCTTACGTCTTGCTTAAGATTGAATTTGTCTTTCTTAAGTTCTCTGAGAATTTGTATCGCGAGTGGTGTACGTATCGTCGGGATTTGACGATTTTCCATTTCTAAATTTAATCTTTTAAGCAGCATTATTATTGGACTATTTGTCTGTTGTAAGTTTTTGATAATAAATTTTTTTGTCCTTAATTTTGCTGTTAACTTCAGTGGACGTTCATTAGCTTCCATTTCCAACACATTTGTAGGAGTCGTAATTGGCAAGCCCAAAATGCGACGAAGACCCCGGTATGCCGTTCTTTCCAAGAGCGCAAACGATGTCTGAGGAACTGGCATCATGCTGTGTAACATAAATTCTAACCTAGTTCTAACTAGTGCGCGGTACAGTATTTTCAGAATTACAGGTCTCCACCCCATTTTGTCGATGAAATTGCCTATAAGATATCCATTGCCTTCGTGGCAGCGCCAATCGATACTCGAATTTGTTCTTTCCAACTCAGTTTTGTGTTAAACCGTACCCCGAGATACCTTATAGAGTTTGTGTAATTTATCACATCACCTCCTATGTATATATTTGGCTAGTTTAATTTTCTCTTAGTGCTAAAGATTATGGCCTTCGTCTTTAGAATTGATACGTCCAAAACCCTCCTTTCCAAAAATGTAAAAACAATCTCCATAGCCTCATTGAGCGCATTCGCGCATCTCTCTATGCTGCAGTCCGACGTAAATATAACGATGTCATCTGCATACGACACTGCAGTGCATCCAGTTCCCATTATTTCTTTATTTAACCCATTAATATACAAGTTGAACAGGGCTGCCTTGTGGAAGTCCACGGTAGCTTATCCTAGATCCTACTCCATTAGGGTCATCTTTGAGTTTCATCTTCTTCCATTAAAATAATGGAAATATAACACTCCGTGTTGTGACAAAATTTCTACTAGTATCAGAATCGAGACGTTGTTATATACTGAATTTAGATCGAGAAGTACAGTTATTAATGGTATTCTTTTGGTCATTGCCATCTGCATCGAGGACGTCAAATATGATATACAGTAATATACATCAATATACATGTTAGATGACTAGGGTTGTAATGAGGAACTTTTCTTTCTATAACGATTTATTCACGTTGACACTTTTACACGTTCGCATAACAACAACTAAAAACTGACCTTACAAACTTGACGTCTTAAAGAAAACGTCTTACACAGGACGAGAGTTGGTCGGTAAAACAGATTTCTTAAAACAAAATATTTCACACTCCCCTTCAAGTTAACATTTCTGATTTTTCTTTTTTTATAAGTTTGCACAACTTATAACATAACTGGGATCTCACATTCATTTTTTTTTTAATTCTCGTCAATACACTTTGTAGATACATTAGGTCACAGGTTGCGCTGGCACAAGCTATATACTCAGCTTCTGCTGTTGAAAGTGCTACGACGTTTTGTTTTCTGGTAGACCATAGAATCAGATTTTGACCGTGATAAATGGCTGATCCACTTACACTTTTCCTATCCACTTTGTTGTTTCCCCAATCTGCGTCTGTGTATGCAATCAGGTTTTGTATATTGCTCTTTCTGTATACTAATTTTACTTCTTTCGTATGTTGCAGGTATCTAAGAATTCGCTTTCCTGCATTCCAAACTTGCGTGGTGGGTTTATTTATAAACTGACTTAAATAAGATGTGGCAAATGTAATATCCGGTCTACTCACTGTTGATAGATATAGTAGTGATCCAATTAGTTCTCTGAATGGTGCTTTTATACATTCACTCTTTTCGTCAATATAGAAGTTTTGTTCCATTGGAGTAAATTGGCCTTTACATTCACTCATGTTGAACTTTTGCAGTATTTTAGTAATGAAACATTCTTGGTCTATAGAAAGTTCATTTTTACCTTTGATGATGTTCATACCAAGAAAGTTTTTGAATTCTCCTAAATCTTTAGCATTGAACTCAACCTTCAGCGATTCAATTAAATTTTGAACTTTTGGTTCTTCTCCAGTTATTATAATATCATCAACCCAAATAATGAGTCTTACTTCTGTACTGGTATACAAGCAAAAGTCGCTGTTTGATCTTTGTAATCCGTTTTTCTCGACAAAGTTGTGGAATCTTTCGTTCCATTTCCTTGGTGCTAATTTTAGACCATATAAACTCTTTATTAACTTCAGAACTTTTCCAGGCTGATTGTTAACACCTTGTGGCGTTTTTATGTATACATCGTTGTCCAGATATCCGTTTAAAAAGGCAGTAGGTATATCTAATTGTTTGATTACCCATTCATGTTGTATGGCATAGGATAGCAGCAGTCGGATTGTTGGAATACGTGCCACTGGACTATAAACTTCCCCGTAGTAATCCTCTTGGAATCCTTTGACGACCAGTCTTGCCTTTTTGGTTCCATCATTTTTCGTCTTGAAGATCCATCTGGTGTCGATGGCCCTTTCACCTTCAGGCAATTCAGCTGTTGTCCAAGTACCATGATGTTGTAATGCCTCTACCTCTCGTTGTATAGCTGTTCGCCACTCATCTCCCTTTCGAATGGCTTCTTCATACGTTTCTGGATCCCCTGTATAGTAGCAATAAGCGGTGTACAACTCATAGTCTTTGAATTTTGTTGGGATTTTAACTTCCCTTTTATGTAATTTGTGCAATACATTACCAGAATTTGATCCCTCGTCATCACTAGGATCTCCATCGTTTCTTTCTTCGGCTTGACAATAGTTTCTTTCTTCGGTCTGATCATTGTTTCTTTCTTCTTCCATTCCATCATCTTCGCCTTGTTGATTTTCCTCGTCTTCACAATTTGTATACGGTTTTCTTCGCTCTTCTTTCCCACTTTCTGTGTAGATGTAGTCACCTTCATCAAACTGTACGTCTCTTGATACTATTATGGAATTAGTTCGTTTGTTCCACAGCCTGTAGCCTTGCTTTCCATACCCAACCATTCTACATTCTACAGCTCTGGTTTCCAGTTTGTCACTAGGTACCGGTAACTTACATGCCCATGCCCTACTTCCAAATATTTTTAGGCGATTCAAGTCTATTTTTCCATGATAAAGTTTGGCTGGTATGTTTCCTTGAATGCTTTTACTTGGGCATCTATTCAATTGATATGCCGCACACTGTATGGCCTCACCCCATAAAC